ACATATTTTCGCATCTGCGTGCCCTCACACTCGGGGTGGGTAGACGAGGAGTTTGTCCAAAATCGACGACCCAACAAGCTAAGCAAATGCACCAGCCAAAAGACTCCTCGCTGATAGCCAAGATGGAACCTATTGTATTGAAAAAAAAAAACCAATAATAGGCTCCTTCAACAATAGTCAGCTTGAACTACTGTAATTTAATTCACACATTTTTTTGCGTATGGTGCACCACTATATCAGGTATTGTCCCTTATGGTTTTCTCCATGTTTTACTTATTTGCATATCTGCAATAATATTGGAGGGATTTATTTTCTTCTGGTCTTCCAAAATTGACCTCGTCTCTAGACATTATTAATACCTAGTGGTCGAAATCCCGTCCATAAATATGGCATTTCGAGCTTATTTATAATTCTTTCAGGTATGAATTTCGTCGAACTTCCGTGCCAACACTTCTTCTGCTTTAAGTGCATGGAAACCTATTCCAATATTCATGTGAAAGAAGGCACGGTAACTAAGTTGTTGTGTCCTGACGCAAAGTGCGGCGGTCTGATTCCGCCTGGTTTGCTGAGAAGGCTGCTTGGGAGCGAATCCTACGAACGATGGGAATCGCTAATTCTACAGAGAACGCTAGACTCGATGTCTGATTTAGTCTACTGTCCGAGATGTGAAACTCCGTGCTTGGAAGATGATCATCATGATGCTCAGTGTCCAAAGTGTTTCTTCACTTTCTGCTCCCTTTGCAGGGATCGTCGCCACGTAGGGGAAGAGTGTCTGACACCAGAAGCGAAACTTCTGATTTTACGGGAGCGACAGAAATCTGTTGAGCTCAAAGGAGATCAAAGGCGAAGGGAGCTCGAGATTATCAATAGTATGCTTAGCGAAAAGGAAGTGCTTCGTGATTCTAAGCAATGCCCATCCTGCAGGATGGCGATCACGAGAATAGAGGGCTGCAATAAGATGCAGTGCTCGAACTGTGGACAGTTATTCTGCTATATTTGCGGCGAAGCAATCAGTGGATACGACCACTTCAGGCAAGCCATTCTAAATCTTGACGTGTTCAGCCTGTTGGTTATGTTAGTTTAGATATGGAAGTGAGAGTAATTTGAGGGGTAATTTAAGTTTCTTCATATTTCCAAAATGATATGAAACCATCTCGAACTATAAGAAATTCTCATAAACGGGGTAAGGGTAGAGGTCTAATTAACCAACCTTTTTACTCTCTACCTACTATAATAACCTTAAAACTTTTTACAGTGATGACAGCTTAAACTAACCGCCATCAGTCAGCAATACATGGTATATATTCAAGTGAGACAATCGTGTTTCTCTGAGTGTGTGTGCGTGTGTGTATATGTATATATGGTCGTGGTTTTTTGAACGCCCTAAAGTTAGGGGCTTTGTGATTTTTACCCATTTCTCAATGGCTGCAGGGAAAGCTGTGAACTGTTCTCCCAAGAAATGATTGTGGAATGGGAGTTGAGAATGAACCAGCGCCGCGTCATGGAACAGATGCAAGCTGTGCACGGACACGCATGTCCAAATTGTCATCAGTTAAATGCAAAGGTGAATCAGCTAATTAACACGCGACTCGTGTTTCCTAACTCGAGATACATCTTCTGGCTTGAACATGAGTTTCTGTGTCTTGAATTGCTTCATTTATCTACTGTTATGGTATTCCTTCGAAGAGCTAGATTCCTATACTTTGCATTTTGAAGATTTAGTGGAGGAGCACTTGAGCATGTTAGCTCAGTTCTTATTTTGGCTGGTTTTGTTTTTTGCCCTGCAATTTCTTGTGACTAATCTTTCTTCTATTGCATCTTGCTGTTATGATGGTTGTGTCACATTTAGAAGGGTAAATTTAACACCCTCAACCCAAAAAAAAAAAACTATGTTCATTCCATTAAACACCCATGAATTTCCTGAGTGTCGGGATTCATGCAAGCTTCTGAAACTAGTTAATTGATCATGGTAAAAATCTTTATGTTTATCTAGTTACTTTGACATAGTTAAAAAATAATCCAAGAGATTTACTATTTGGAAGTGGTTCCTCATCCTCATCAACTGAATTTTTTTTTGTCAAACTTTAGATAGAACTTGCCTGAGTAGGAAATAAAAGCCAATTCTAACAAAATGAGGGTCTTTGAATATCATTCGTCAAATAATATCCAGGTAGTTATCTTTGCATGGATTTTGAGTTTGTGCTATGACCATTTGTCAGATTGTTTTAACATTTACTAGCTAGGTTAACTTTTATAGTCATAGCTTACATTGTAATAGTTTCCATGGATTTTGAGTTTGTTCCTAAAAACGCTTACATTTTACGAGTTTCTTGGACTTTTTTTAGCATAGTAAAATAAGGAAATGAGAGATTTTGTTGAATTCATTTTGAAATTTTTCCAAAAGCTAATTACAGGTTCTTCTTTCCATCAGAATAGTAGGGCCATTATGTTCATTACTAAACCTGTTGAAGAGATGAAGTAGAACCAGGCTCCAACCAAAAGAAGAATTAGACCAAATTTTAGGATACATTCAGGATAATGAAACTTCCAAGGAAGAGAAGCAAATGAAACGCTACCACAAGAATTCTTATAGCAAGAATTCTTGTAGAAGCAAGGACGAAGCTTTCTTTCTGTACATTGCCAGATCATGAATTAGTAATTGCATATCCAATCTCCGAAGTAGTCCCAATTGTTTCAAACTTACTAGCAAACATAGTTAGGACTTGCTCTTTGACCCTTGCCAAAAGGTAAATGCAATGACCTGTTAAGTAGTAGTCAACTTGTTGCATTTGCTAACATCTGGAGTTTATACTTCCACGTGCTAGTATTGTTCACTTGTGGATGTTGGTCATTGTTGCATACTGGCTTATTTTTGAAAGCAAGTTGTGTCAGAATGGTAGGCATATTTTAATAGGTAGATTGAGCTTTATATTGACCAACAGACAAAACAAGGAGTTTCACAAATCTACTTTGTCAACCGGTTTAATTTTGATTATTTTCTACACATATATATTTTATTTAATTTAATTTATTATTATTATTATTTTCGGGTGCAAATAGAGGCGACCATAGACCATAACAAATGTAAAAATCTGTTAAGGGACTGCTTGCATGTTTTTGCGAAAGTTGAGGATCTATGATACATCATGGGAGATTTCTAAGTCCTAATAAACCTGCAAGTACACAGCTAGTTGTAGTTCTTGCAGGTCGAACCACAGGGAAGATGGAGTTTCAAAAGGTCTTTTAATTAGATTATTGAGAAAAGAGTTGAGGGACTGGTTGGTTGGATTTTAAAACTATTTATGAACTAACTTAGTCACTTAGGACATGCAGAATCCACTAAGGTGATTACTACGTACTTGGACATAATAGTTCTTTCTTTTTACGAACTAAACAAGTATACCCTAACAGTGTCCATACTCAGTTTTCTTTTTCCTTGTGTGAATGCTGATGGAACCCAAATTTGTTGATTATTGACAGGTTGGTAATAATAATCACCTCTACTGCCAGGCTTGCCACATTAACTACTGTGCTCTCTGTCGCGAAGTCGTCAGGCGCCGTGCTCACCATTATGGACCCAAACGATGCAAGCAGCACACTGCAGACCCCTAACAGGATCGGGTTTGTGGGTTCAGAGTCTGTAGGAACTTCGTTTGCGATCAATTACAAAGATGTATTATATGTATTATGTTAGATAATATTTTTTTTCATTGAATCATGTTTTTTTAGTTGTTTTATAGTTTTGAAGCACATTATATTTTTTTTCCCAATGTAACAGAAAGCTGTCATATTGAATAATGAGTCTTGACTAATTACAATGAGATCATTTACAAGGATGTATGATATATACTGTGTTAAATAAATCATGTTCATTGAATCAGGTATATATAGTTTTTTAGTTGTGCGGCTAGAGTTTGTAGCACATTATTTCCTAATGTACAGATATCTTTACACTGTAGTGTGTCATATTGAATGTCGACTCTTGACTGATTAATTTTTACATAATTAGCATAAATGGAGTTGTTTATAAAATAATGTACTTAATATATGATTATTTAGAATAGTGGTGATTATTATTTAAAATCCTGGTTCTAATGTGTATTTGATGGGTACTGATATATATGCATCATCATTGATTAGCAACTTATTTTTTATTGAACAGTGTTCATTGTTTTTTCACGGTCCTGACTAAATTAAGCATTAGTTTACTATTTACTATGTTAATAAAATAATTATACCGATAGTTTATTTTTTTAGCAATAGTGGAGATGAAGTTGTTAGTAACATTTTCCTCTTTTTTCAGCTTCAACAAACTGAGAGCTTGAGATGCAAAGACGATTTTCTAAATAGATGGAGGAGCGTTCCGAGCCTAAAAAAAGGCTTGGAAAATCAAATTCTCCGAAAGTAAACCCCAACACGTGTCAAACTCCCGAATTATCCACGTGCGCCATTCTCGCTCGTAAACTGAACTCAAGCTGCCAAAAAAATTCCCCCTTACGTCACCACCCCCTCCCCAACAACCTCGGATCTCCCCTTCCCACGTGTCACCACCCCAACTCCCCTCCAATTCACCACGTGCTCTTTCTCTCTCTAAAAACCTAGACAGAGAGGGGGAGAGAGAAAACTACGTACGTACGTACCAATGGCAATAGGTAGAGAGAGGAGGCACCACCTCCAGTCCCTCACCTCGCCTCCTCCTCCTGCCTCCTCCCTCAAACCTCCGCCAACCTTCGTCTTCCTCCTCCGTCCGTCGCCTCCCCATTCGCGGTAGGCGATCTCGAGAAACCTCGCGTCCTCGAAGAGCGCGCGGCGGCACGGTTACAAAGTCAGACACGGGCCCACGGCCACCATCCTCGCCCTGAAGGTCCTAAACCTCTCCTCCTCCGCCGCCACTCGGCGTCGTCGAGGCCGACCGTCCTCCGCAGGCTACTGACTCCCCGTTCACACGCGTCAGGTGCCAGCCCGCCGTCATACCCGACGGCGACAACCTGTGCTTCGCCATGGACTGCATGCCCAACGGCTCCCTCAAGGATGCCATCAACGAGAGGGGGAGGGGGTTCGATGAGGGGGGTATCGCTAGGGTGGCTGAGAGGGTTTTAAGGGGTTTGAGGTATTTGCATGGGCTGGGAATTGTGCATGGGGACATTAATCCCTCTAATTTGTTGGTTGACGAGGGCGGAGAGATCAAGATTGCTGATTTTGGAGCTAGTAGGGTGGTAGTGGACGGGGCCGAAGGTACTTCAGATTTTGGTGCAGTTTCATGTCTTTTTTTTTATGGTCTGCTAATGCAGACGTCTCACATATTCAAATCATCAACCATCATCTGAATATATTTGATGATACGCGCCGCATACATATATACGCATAAGTGCAAACTTGAATAATATGTGTATAAAATGAGAACGTGGGCGAATACCCCCGCTTAAGTTACATACTCACTTTGATATTTTGTAAATAGAATAAAGGTGGTAACTTCATTAATTAGTTTAATCAAATTATTAGAAACATTTATGCAAGGTTATAGAAGACAATTAATATATTAATTCATGACGTAGTATAACAAATCATAAGTTTTAGGCCTAACAGTTAACTATATATAGTAATAATCTATACATATTTCTTTGTGACATGCTAAGAAAGATAATTACATATAACCCCTCAGCCTCCGCTACTTACGTAGAAGTCATGAATACTAGAAGCAGAAGGCCCTTATGCGAATTTCCAGTTTACTCTTTATCTCTTCGTCCCTTGTATTTCAAGTTTTGTGAATATTAGTTTAATTTTTTTCTTATATATTATCATAAAGTAAACCTTAGCCTTTTCTAACAAGGTACGCATGAAAGTAAATATCATGTTTTATATGTGAAATAAAGATTCAAAATAAATATATAATTTTATAAATAGTTAAAGGATAACTAAATTGATCATTCTTATATATGACAAGACTTCTACTCATGCTTTATCTGTACGTCTAAATTAAAATGCCTGGCTCCACTCCTAATGCAGGCAACACCATTGAGAGCGCAGAACGAGGAGGAACATGCGCATACATGAGTCCCGAAAGATTTGACTGTGAGGGATTCGGCGGCGGAGGAGACGGGGGAGGGTTCGCCGGAGACGTATGGGCGTTAGGGGTGGTAGTTCTAGAATGCTATTTAGGGAGATTTCCATTGGTTGGAGCAGGGGAGAGGGCAGATTGGGCGACATTGATGTGCATGGTGAGGTTCGGTGGGATGCCGGAGGTGCCGGTGAAGGCATCGCGGGAGTTTCGAGGATTTGTGGAGAGGTGTCTTGAGAAGGAGTGGAGGAGGAGGGGTACGGTAGGGGAGTTACTTGAGCATCCATTTCTTGAGATGCGCAGTTCTTCTTGCCCGGTGATGGAGGGGTTCGCTGGCGATGGAGGATAAAAGGATGATCATAAATTTTGGTATGAGATGACGAATCATTTTATGAAATGAGCTATTATGAGGTAAACCGGTAATGAGACTCATTCCGCTATCGATCATCTCTTCTAATAGTTCATTTTGTTAAATGAGTTGACAGCTCATACTCTGTTATCTGCTTAGTATATGAGTATTTTGGTTTATGATTAGTTTTGTGGTATTTCTTAGTTCGTGGTAGGTGAGGATAAGAGCCCATGCATGCTCGAGCGAATGTTTCTTACATAGATTACTTAGGTTCAGGTTTTTATTGGAAGCTTTGCTCTTGTTCGTGTGAACTTTGCACCGTCATCTTGGCTCACTCTGTTCTAGTGTGAACAATTTTCGTTTATTGTGATGCATATAATGTCACTACGATGTACCTAGCAGTACTGGAAATAATCACAGGTTACATTGCAGTAGGTTTTTCTGCGGGAAATGGTAAGATATGATCGAGAACATTGTTCCTCATGTTACTCAACAACAGGTAGGCATAACAGACAGCAGTACTTGTTTACATGTACATACCTTAGATATATACACATTTTCCATGGAATTTTATCAAAAGAGATGATCTCCTCTATTTTTTTCTTTTCCTTACCATAATGCCATCATGTATGAGGTTTACATCTGCGACGATCAAGTTCAGACTTGTGTCCTTATAACTAAACTAGATACATGCTCTTTTCCTCCAAGGAGCCCTAACCTGTACATGCTCTTTTCCTCCAAATACCCTAATATAGCATTAGAGAAGTTCTCTGGGAAAATTGCATGGTAATGAAAAACACCCTGCTCTACTTGCATATCACATTGACCGACTCGAGCAAAATATTTGAAGCATACAGCAACAACAGCCTGACCTAGAATTTTGGTATTCGACTCCTGTGAGTCAGCAATTCCGTCAAATAATTCATGAAACACTCTTGAAGTCTGATCTTATCTCTGCAACAAAGTGTTTGAACTGCCTACAGCAAGCAACCTAGTTGAACGCTACGGCTGTACTGCAATTTGATGGTACCAACGGGGTGCACTCAAGTCTGCCATGCAAAATGCTCATTTTTGCACAAATGGAGAGTAATTATATATGTCATGGATACAACCTCTAGAGCCCTAAGTTTTCCCGACGACATTTTGAAGTTATTCATACAGCAATCATGGCCGTCACTAGATTATAATATCCGTTGAACAGGAAATACCAGCATAGCTTGTCTTTCATCGATCGTGAGTTCGAAGTAATCCTCGGTCACAACCAAGTTCTTTTAAATGTAATAAGGTTTGGTTTAACAGACCACAGTACTTTGTTCATGAAGACCATTATTAGAAATCAAATCATAAAGTAACATCTGCAGGAAGAAGGATGCAGGTATCTGATTTCAAACACAAACACTTAACGATAGGAAGACACGGCCGACTCAATTCTACCACTCTCACAATTACCTGCAGTAACACCCCTTAAAGAGATTAGTTTCATCATATCAGTCCAGTTAACATGAAAAAATAGAGTTCATATCATAAACTCTTGAAAGGAACCAGGAAGCTACATATATGTGTATATAAAAATGTGGAAACATGTGACAGAACATTTCACTTAAAAAAGGTTCCTTAATGAGCCAATTTAATCTCGAACAAGCCAAATGCCGCTACTAAGTTGCTCTAAGTATGAATTTACAAACACCAATAAGAGCATGGAGAGCGATTCATGTTTCTATACAAAACCCTCATGACAGGAATCAGAGCATGACATGGGACACGATACAAACACCAAGACAACAAACCCAAATAAAGACATGGACAATCAGCCACCTGTTGGATTTTATTTTTTATCTTTTACTATTTAATGTATTCACTGATCTCTTTTCCAGTGTATATGCATGGGTGTGGCCAGGTTGTGGACTAAAATATAATTCATTTGATTGTTGATTTGGAAGCTACCTAATTGAGAACTTGTATACCAGTTCATTTTACCTAGTATTTCGCTAAAATGTAACTGAGACTCCTGACCTATATTAATCTGACATCGGTGTCGAATGAGGATGAAATACTCTTTTAAAATCGAAGGAAACCATTCAGCAGGGATTTAGTTTTTCCACTCAAAAAGTATCTCATAATGTCTGACATTAAGATTACTGGAAAACAAGATCCTTTTCTACCATTAATGAGTGCTGTTCAAATGGCAAAGTTCTTCTTTCTGCCATGTACAGAGTTTTAATTCAGCCTTCTCCACGGGTGAACTGGCATGAAACAGTTTGGGATGGACTCTTATATCCAAAAAGAGAAACAACAAATCACATCTTTTTTGACTGTCAGTTTTCGGCTGAGGTTTGGAACATGATAATGGAATGGTTAAGTTTTAAATGGAAGTCTTGCAACTGGAACCAGCTCCTAAATTGGTATTCTTGTAATCTAAGGGGTAAGGGTGCCACGAAAAATCTGAAGCGAATGGCATTGTCAACGGCTGTGTACATAATCTGGCAGGAGAGGAATCTCCGGATTTTTCAAGGCAGGAAGAGAGAGGTCAAGCAGATTGTTCATATCATCAAATTTTTAGTATACACAAGAGTTTTGAATGACAGCTCATATGTTCATATAAGGGAGCTCTTTGAGAAAATGTAATTTTTCTGTTTTTGGAATACCAGGTACACTGGTATCTTGATGTATTACAAAACTGTACAGTTTGGATATGAATAAAATTACTTCATTTACCAAAAAAAAAAGATCCTTTTCTACCTGTGAAGTGCTGGACTCCTGCTTACAGGAGAATAAAGTCTACTTTTCAAGAGAACAACTAAAGACAACAAAGAACAAACTACTGGCGGGAATAAAGCTCCAGCACTTGGCCCTGAATGCCTCCGATATAGCAACTACTACTAAAGAATGAACCAACAAAGGAATGGGAAGATACAGCCATGAGCCATCACTACCTCATATTTCGAATTAACTACTCCTACCTCAGCTTACGAGTGATCCCTCGACTAGAGCCCTAACATTGGTAGCTGGTTAAGGCATATTGTAGCTGGTTGAGGCATATTGTAGCTGGTTGAGGCATATTGTAACCTTCATTCTGGACTAGTGAGTAAGTGACTACTCTTAAACTCGGGTATCCTTCATTCTGGACTAGTGAGTAAGTGACTACTCTTAAACTCGGGTATCCTTCATTCTGGACTAGAGTAAGTGACTACTCTTAAACTCGGGTATATTTTTTAAGGAGAAGGCAAAGGTCTTTGAAGCCTTGGAAAGGTTAGCTCAAGTGACATGTTCGGATATCCGATCAGTTTTATTTCCACAGGTAATGATTCCATTTTAAACTTACTCCGATCAACAAACTATATGGATTACCATCTTATCTGGAAAGCAAAAGCAGGTGAAGCAGCAAGATAGACTTTTGGCTTCGGTGCACTTTAGCAGCAAAAAAAGTCCACGGCTTTTTTTTTACCTCTTTTTTTAACTAGAAGGTAATAGAAAAAGGGGGAAAATAGCCAGGACTTAGAAATTAAGAACTTGCATCATAAACAAAACAAATAATAATTGATGCTAAATCAGTAACAAGAAAAACAAAATTAACAAAAGAAGATGATATAGTGATACAGTGTAAAAAAGCACATCCTCATCTGGATGCGTGCCTAAAGTGTTCCAAAACCTACATGACGAATTGGGGGCTTCAGCAGACAACAATCTGAACTAGTTTATAAAGCTACAAGGGTTCGGTTAGGCCTCAACATTGCTTATACTTCTAGACAAAGGACCAAATTGAGGTGCTGAATCACATTCGGAGACTTATCTTTGTTGTTTTCGCAGCAGAAACCCAAATAAAAAAATGTGCTAGCTACGTCGACTGAGTATTGGTATAATATACTTCTACACACTCCTTAACAAAAAATTTCCCTAATAAAGCATTGTTATGTTGTGATCCCCCTACTGCCCTTACTCACCACATCCAGCTCAGCTACAATTTATGGAAGAAGATAGAATGTCCCGCAACCAAATGGTGCAGAAACTCAAGGATACTTTGCTGCATGCACAACATCACATGAAAAGGTTGGTCAACACCAATTGCGCAGGACGCTCATTTGAGTCAGGCAACTGATTTTTACTGAAAGTGGCATCCTTATAGGCAAATTTCAAATAGTGCTTGATGAATTCAAATGTTGTTTCCTTTCCTAGAGTCTTGGCCCTTCACAGATTTGGCTGTCAGGATACAGCTTGGAGATGAATGCAAACTCCAAAATAATGTACATACTGTTTCTTCCGCACGTCACAATTAAAACAACATCCCGCGGATTTTGACAGTGCTGTCAAGTTTATACTCATAGCATGCCAACATCTTATAGGAAGCAACGTCCACTTTGCAATGTTGCATGATCAAACATAAGGACCCTCGATTGGCCAGACAGGGACTTACTGGCCCTTGGTCAATGCTCACCCTTTGACCTTGAGACAAGGTAATTTGTAAGGCAGCAAGAAGTTAATGCACTCGGAAAGGAGCATAATGTAGAAGCCGACCTGCTGGATGATCTAATCAAAATCACGAGATGAACTGACCCCCAAAGCTAGGTTGTCGATGGCTAAAGCATCACGACCCAACCGACCAAGCCCTAAGTAGTAAGTACCATAAGCAAGCAACGCTAGCTCTCCTGAGGTGGTGGAAATATTATGTGCTATAACCCAATATTTATTTGTTTTTAATCCATTTCAAGCCAATGGCAATTTAGTTCCTATAGTCCAAACTTCTCGATTTTCATGGACTATAGCCCACGTTTTTAATCAATTTCATCCATTTCGATTCCATGGTACATAGTTTAAAATTTTCAAATTTCATGGGATGTAACCAACGGTTCTTATCTTTTTTTGTCCATACCCAATGACAATTAAGCGTATGTAGTTCAAAATTCGAGATTTCAATCCAAGGCAATTAAGCAAGGTTTTAAATATCAGATATCAGGAAAATATCGGATGACCAAAATTCATATCGGATTGCGGATATCAGGAAAATTATCGGCGATATGTGGTAAATATCGGAATGACAAAACAAATGTTTGCATATATAGTATAATGTACTAAAATGTAATCTCAACATACTTAATAAAATCTAAGTATACGAAATGTAAATAATATATGTTTAGGATTACTAACCAACCTTATAAAACAAATAAAAGTACAAATCAACATTGCTACATATTGTCAAATTTTTGTAGGTCAAAATGTCATTTGATATAATGGGAAAACATGATATCTTGCCCAAAAATTACCAAATGTGGTATATTGTTTTGTGACAAGTCATATAAAAGGATATACGGCCAACATATCGGTTGATATATCGGCTACATTGGGATATGACGCCCAAAATAGCCAAAATGCGGTAAAAAATATTTAGAGACCATATCGGTTGCCGCCAGCACTTTAAAAGGATATATCGGGGGATATATTGGGCCATGTCGAGGATATTTAAAACAATGCAATTAAGTACATGTTCAAAATTCGAGATTACATGAGGCTATAACTAATGTTTTGTTTCGACTCAATATCGATAAAATATCTGTATTTCAAAATTCTCAATTTCATGGGTGATTTCATGGGCGATACCCACAATTTTTAATCCTTTTGAGTCGATAAAATGTGGATTCCAAAATTCATAATCTTCATAAGCTATACCTAATAATTCTTTATCGTTTTTGTCCATTTCAACCCAACGAAAATTAAGTATGTGTATATCAAAACTAGCGATTTTACAGGCCATAACCCACAATTTTTATCTATTTTTATCAATTTAACCCCAATGGCAAATAAGTATGTGTATTTCAAAATTCTATATTCTCATGAGGCTACAACCCACATTTTTTGTCATTTTCATCCACTTCGTCTCAATAGCACATAGTAAAATATTTGCAATTTTCATTGACTATAGCACACAATTTTCGTTCATTTTCATCTGTTTTGACCCACTGACACGTATTTCAAAATTTACAATTTTCATGGGCTATAATCCATGATTTTTGTTAATTTTTGCCTGTTTTGACACAATGTAATTAAACACGCTTAATTCAAAATTCACGATTCTTATGGGCTATAATCCATGCTTTTTGTCCAGTTTTATCTATTTCAATCAAAAGATAATTAAATACACGTAGTTCAAATTTTGAAATTTCAAAAGCCATAATACACTTTTTTGTCCATTATTTTCCGTTTCAACTCAACGGCGACAAAATACGCGTATTTCAAAATTCTTAATTTGAATGGGTTATGACAATGATTTTTTTATCATTTTGGTCTATTTTGAATCAATAGAAATTAAGTATGAATACAATCAATATTTGTGATTTTATGGGCTATATCACGCATAATTTTTTTCTAGTTTTTTTCCATCTCGAGCCAATGAAAATCAAGTACATGTTAAATTCTTGATTTTCATGGGCTTTCTTCATATTCATCCATTTTGATTC